GCGCACCGTCAACCAGCGCTTCGGGCTCGACCTCAAGACGTACGACGAGCTTTGGCGCTGGTCGTGCGACAACCTTGACGCCTTCTGGTCCACCGTATGGGACGAGACGCACGTCGTTGCATCGGTCAAGGCTCAGCGCGCCATCGCGGATGATGCGCCCATCTACCCGCCGCCACGCTGGTTCGAAGGTGCGCGCCTCAACTTTGCCGAGAACCTGCTGCGACACGGTGGGCCCAATGCGGCCGAAGAGGCGGCGTCGCGTACGGCGGTGATTCAGTCCACCGAGGTCGACACCACCACGGGCGAGCTCGACGAGTCCTCCATCACGTACCGCGAGCTGTATCTCTTAGTCGCGCGGGTAGCCAGCGCCATGCGCGCACGTGGCATCAAGGTCAACGACTGCGTCGCCTCGTACTCGGCCAACAACATCGAGAACCTTGTGGCGTTCCTCGCAGCATCGTCCATCGGCGCAGTGTGGACGAGTGCGGCGGCCGACTTTGGTCCCGAGGGCGTGCTGGAGCGTCTGCGCACCGTGCGTCCCAAGCTGCTGCTCAGCGTCAATGCGGTGCGCTACAACGGTAAGGTGCACGACCACCTCCAGAAGCTCCAGAGCGTCGTCGATGGTCTCGAGGCAGACAGGAAGCCCGAAGAGCAGAAGCTCGAGTCGATTATCGTCGTGCCGTACGTCCGATCGCATCCCGTCCCGGAGCACAGCGCCGGCAGTCAAAACGGCTCGCAGGGAACGGCCTGGACGAGCTGGGACAGCTTGTTGCAGGAAGGCGAAGCGGATGCGCACAAGCCGATCACGTTCGAGCAGCTCGACTTCAACCATCCCCTCTGGATCCTGTTCTCGTCCGGTACGACTGGCAAGCCCAAGGCGATAACGCACCGAGCCGGCGGAATGCTGCTGCAGCTGTCCAAGGAGCATCTCATCCACGGCGGACTCACGCCCGACGATGTATTCTTCCAGCACACCACCACGGGCTGGATGATGTGGAACTTCCTCATCGCAGGACTGGTGGCTGGATGCCCCATCGTGCTGTACGATGGCAGTCCGCTCAAGCCGGCGTCGGTGCTGTGGGATCTGGCCGAGAAGCACGGCGTGACGACGTTCGGTACCTCGGCGGCATACCTGGGTGCGCTAGAAAAGAGCGGCTACGACGTGCGTGCGAGCCACCCTGGCCTCAAGGTGCGTCAGCTACTCAGCACGGGCTCGCCGCTGCGTCCCGAACTGTACCCGTTTGTCCACGACAAGATCGGTGCGGACATCCTGGTTGGGTCGATCACGGGTGGGACGGATCTGTGCTCGCTGTTCGCGGGGCACAATACGGCGTTGTCCGTGCGTGCGGGCGAGATCCAGGCTCGCAATCTCGGCATGGACATTGGCGTGTACGATTCCGACAGCGCCACTGAGCTGCTCGAACCCAACAAGGTCGGGGATCTTGTGTGCAAGAAACCCTTCCCCGCCCAACCGCTCGGCTTTTGGAAACAGCCCGAGTCCAAGTACTACGACTCGTACTACGCCCAGATTCGTGGCGTCTGGTACCACGGCGACTTTGTCATGCTCAGCCCGCACGGCGGCGTGGTGATGCTCGGTCGATCCGATGGAATCCTCAACCCCGGAGGAATCAGGTTTGGATCGTCCGAGATCTACGAGCTCCTCGAGAGCCCCGAGAATCCCATGCAGTCGCTCATCGTCGACTCGCTCGTAGTCGCTCTCAAGACGCCGGCGGGAGACGACGAGGTGGTGTGCCTCTTTGTGGTGCTCAACCCCGCTGCCCGAATCGCCATGGAGGAGTTCAAGAAAAGCCTCAGCGCACTCATCAGGTCAAAGCGAAGCGCAAGACATGTTCCCAAGTTCATCGAAATCGTCCCCGACATTCCAAAGACGCTCAACGGTAAGAAGGTCGAGGTACCTGTCAAGAAGATCATCAACGGCGCAGGCCTCGACGCCATCAACAAGGCCACCCTCCTCAACCCGCAAAGCCTCGAACCCTTTGTGGTTCTTGGTGAGAAACTGCGCTCCAGCCTTGCCTAGATTACACACGGGATGAGGAAAAGAACGTAATTGCATCTGTAGATCCGCGACACAAGAATTATGTACAGGCCGAGTTGCACCAACCGCGCCGCGTTATCATCGCGCGTGGCAGTACTCGTCGGAAAAGAGCGCGTCGGCGAGGTTGTCCGGGACGAACCAGACGGTGAGCGCGACGATAAGATAGACCATGATGAGGACAAAGCCCTCGAGGTAGTTGCTCCTGTTGTCGGCGATGGCAAAGTTGACGATGAGCACCGTGAGGAAGAGCAGGATGGTGGCAAACGGATCAAACAGCAGCGTGAGCGGCCTGTCGCCCATCCAGGCGATGAGCACCAGCAGCGGAATCACAAAGAGCGCAATCTGGATGGACGAGCCAATGGCGATCGAGCTCGCCATCTGGATCTTGTTCTTCCACGCAAAGATCACCGCCGCCAGATGCTCGGTCGCGTTGCTCGCAATGGGCAGCAGGATCAGTCCGATCCACGTGCGCGAAATGCCGCCCGTCGAAACCACCACATTGATCGCCGTCACGAGCCACTCGGACGTGACGCCGATGAGCACCGTGACTACAACAAGCGTGATGATGACCGAGGTCATGTTCATCTGCGGCTGCTCCTCCTCGTCGTCCTCGTTGGTGTCCTCGAAGAACTCCTTGTGCGACGCCAGGCTGAAGATCAAGAATCCAATGTAGATGAGCAGCAGCAGCACCGAAACGCCGCGGCTGAACTTGAGAATGTCGGGCCTCTCTGTGCTGTCGGGGATGGCGCCCAGCACGGCGTGGAAGGCGGAGGGGATGACGAGCGAGATGACGGCCATCATGAGGAGCGAAGTGTTGAGCTGGGCGGGCGCCTCGAGGAAGACCTGCTCCTTGACGCGCAGGCCGCCGGCGAAGAAGCACGTGCCGAGCACGAGCAGCAGGTTGGAGAGGATGGAGCCGAGCAGCGAGGTCTGGGTGATGATGAGTTCGCAGTTGAAGAGCGAGACGATCGCCACGATGAGCTCGACCGCATTGCCGAGCGAGGCATTGATGAGGCCGCCGATGGTCTCGCCGACGCGCAGCGACACCTCCTCGGTCGCCTGGGAGAGGATCGTGGCTAGCGGCATGATGGCGAGGAACGAGGTGATGAACACCGCCAGGCCGTTCTTGAAGACATTCTGGTCGAGCGCAAAGTGGAGCGCCCACGAGATGGGGATGAAGACGAGCAGGATGTTGAGGAACGAGCCTAACAGCATGTTCTTGAGACTGACAAAGGTGTTGGGCGCCTTTGCGAGGCGATGCTCGGGCGTGAAAAGCTCGGTAAAGGAGCGACGCAGCGTGTGTCTCGACTCCATCGTCGCTCTGCGCGGTGGTCCAGCAAAGGGACCTCCGAGACCCTCGCGGATGGACGACTGGTCGCGGTCCATGCCACGCTTTGTGGATGGCTCGGACGAGACGATGCGCGTCACCGCCGAGCTGTCCTCGTTGGACGAAGCCGCCTGGCCCTTTTCGAGCATGTCGGGTTCGGACGCGGCGATGGTGGCGCGCTTGGGACGCTGCGTGACGCTGTTGGTGTTGTTGGCGGTGGCGGAGCGAGAGGAGGAGTAGGGATTGTTGGGGTGCGGGCTGGCCGATGTGAACGGCGTTGGCTCGTCGTTGGGCAGCGGCTCTGCCGACGATGTCGAGTCAGCACCCGCCTGGTGCGGTTCCGAGGACGACATGTCTTCCGATGTTGGGCTCTCCCGCAGAGCGTCGGAGGAGAAAGCGACCTTCTTTGGCGTGGTAATGATGGGCGAGATGGCCGCGGGCGGATTCGCACGCAAAAGCGAGTGCCCTTCCGTCGGTCTAGCTGGACAAGTGCTGCTGCTAAGGCTCAGGAGCTTGGAGCTTGGAGCTTGGAGCGTGGAGCGCCGCGGGTGTGTGAACGTCTCCGTTTCGAGTCGGAAGCGCCGAGATGAGAGAAGCTCGAGCTTGTTCTAGGTTGAGTGATGCAGGTGAAGGTTGCGTACAAAAGTGGACGTCGCAGTGGCGATGATGGATGCCTCTCAAGAACGAACGGTCGAAGCAGCCAGACAGGGTGGCTACGGCTCGAGCGGGTTGGGCTTGCGGTGCGCCCTTGCTGGGAAGGCAGTGACGCTGTGCCTTCTGGCCAACTTGCGTCAGCTGCCCCCGCGCCTGGATATTTTCGCGCGGGTGTGTTTTGTTGCTCTCAGATGCTCAGATGCAACACCGCCTCTTTATTTTTGGGCGCCGGCCTGCATGCATGACCCTCAATCCCACACACCCACACACGCTGCACCGCCCAGCACACGCACACAACGCAACACGCACACAGGGGTCGACGGCCCGAGCCTTCCCTCCGTCTTTCTAGTCCGCCGCCATGCAACATCCCCACGGAAGTAACTGTACCGTACGCCTACGAATGTCGCGGATGTACCCTTATGAATTTGCCTCTGAAGGAGTAGGCAAAAGTCAGGCCAACCCGCATGGTTCATGTCGAGGGAAAAAGAGTCCCAGGGACTGGATTGTATGGCAGTGCTGTTGCCTTGTGGCTCGCGAAAAGGAAAAATGACGTCTGGCAGCCTCCGCCGGCGAACGGCGAACCGCGACCGCCGCTGCCGCGCCCAACCGACAGGCGGCAAAGACTGGACCGCCGCTTCTGCCAGCCGATCCGAAATTCCACAGATCGAGACTCACACGCGAGCTTCCCGATCGATCGGGCCAAACTAACAAGATGTTAGGTTCCATGCCAGCTGAGCTCAGCTCTCGCGGACTCGAGGCTTTTCGCGGCTTGGCACACTTGGCCTGAAAAGTGGAGAGGCGTGTGCGCAAGTCGAGAGGAGTGTTGGTCTGAAGCGCAGAGCACCGCCTGCAGGGTCCGCTTCTGAGTGAAAGCGCAACTGAGCCCTCGGGCCCCCCCACCTTGTCCTCGCACCATCACGCACGCACACTACCTCAAACTTGGCAGAGCGCATCACCACCACCATGATGGCGTCGTCCAATGCGGCAGGTCAACTCGCCCGCAAGGCGCTCATGGAAGATGCTCGTCAAGAGGAAGCCATCACCGTCAATCAGCGCGCCCTTATAGACAAGATCCTCGCTAGATACGCCGCAGAGTTCACCGTCTTCCGCGAGCTCCTCCAGAACGCAGACGATGCAGGCGCCACCCACTGCGAGCTCCGATTCGAGTCGCAGCGCTCGTCTCCCTCGTCCACCGCATCACAGCAGCCTTCATCCTCGACGTCGTCATCCAACCTGCTACCCGACTTCAAGGCCACCCTCTCCAACTGGGTCTTCCGCAACGACGGCAAACCCTTTGGCAACGATGACTGGTCCCGCCTTCGCAGGATCGCGGAAGGAAATCCAGACCCAGACCGCATCGGCGCTTTCGGCGTCGGCTTCTACTCCCTCTTCAGCATCTGCGAGGAACCCATCGTATCGTCAGCAGACGAGCTCATGGGCTTCTTCTGGAAAGGCGACTCGCTCTTCACAAAGCGCGCAACCAATACCGATCGCCAGAACGCGCCCTCCGGAAGACCATGGACCACCTTCTTCATGGCCCTCCGCGAGCCTGCCCCCTTTCCCGATTCGCCCATGGCGCTCGCCAAGTTCCTCGCCACCTCCCTCACCTTTACCACCCAGATCAAGTCCATCTCCCTATACTGGGACGATCATCTGCTCTGCAAACTCACCAAGAAGCTCGCTTTGCCCAAGCCCATGGTGATGCCGTCCCATCTCAACGCCAATAGCCCGGGTCGCACCATGCGCGTCCGCGACCTCGAATCGACGGCAGTCCAGATCGACGTTCAGGCCCTTCGGCTCGTCATCGACGCTTTTGAAAGGGAGAAGCCAAAACCAAAGCTGTCGCTCACATCCGCTCTGGGCAAGTCGAGCGGCGGCGGTCTTACCTCGATGCTCCAAAGCGCCTTCGGCTTTGGCTCCAGCTCATCCAAGGAAAAGGAAAAGGAGCGCGAACTGCAGGCGCGCAGGGAAGCCGAGCAGGCTGCCGCCAACGACAAGGCCAAGCTCGACACCACAGCAGCCCTACTCACCTCGGTCTCGGCTTCAATTCACCTGCGCATTGCCACCGCCAACGTCGCCGTCTCTGCCGACAAGGCTTTCCAGAAGGAGATCGAGCGCAGCACAAAGAAGCCTCCGCCCAAAGTCACTGCCTTCCATCTCATCTTCACCGGTAAAGAAGAGTACGACGCCAGCTTCCCTCAAGACGCCGAAGATGCCGACAACTCGCTCTCCGCATCCTCTTCTGCAGCTGCGCTTGACAAAGGCGCTCGTCAGATCTTCTCCGGCCTCATGCCTCGTCTCGAGGACCAAGGCCACGCTTTCATCGGCTTCCGCACCCATCAGACCACCGGCTTCAGCGGTCACATCGCCGCACGCTTCATCCCCACCGTAGAGCGCGAGTCGCTCGACTTTGTCGACCGCTACTGCGCCCAGTGGAACTCCGAGCTGCTCTCCATGGGCGGCTACGTCGCACGCGCCGTCTATGAGAACGAACTCGGCGACATCGGACGTCTGTGGACCAACACCTTTGGCGACAAGCGTCCCACCACCGACGACGATCAAGCGCTGGCCAAGGCACTCAAGGATCGCGCTTTGCATCTTATGCGCTTCTTCACCATGCGCACCTCGTCGCCGTCCTCGCGGGTCTCGTCTCTCTTCCTCACCTCCTTCTTCGGAGCAGCGCGCCAGAACACCATCTCGCTCATGTCCACCCGCGGCGTCAAGCACTCGGCTGCAGTCCGCATGCCCAACACCCTCCTCTCCGACTTCATCAAGGACCTCGCCGTCATCCCTCCCAATCACACGGAGGACGCGCCCGACTTTGTTCGTGAGGTTCGCTCGCGTAATCTGGTGCAAGACATTACCATGGACGACGTCTTTTCGGAGCTGTCCTCACGCGCCCTCACCACCGCCGAGATGGTCGCATGTCTCCGATGGTGGACTAGCGTCGCGGCGCATCCCTCGTACGACGTCAGCCTGCGCTCCAAGCTCCTCAACAGCGCCATGCTAACCATCGCGGACCCCAAAGACGCTGCCGTGCCAGAAAAGATCCAGCCACTGAGCATCGTGCGCTTCTACCTCAACACCTCCCGCCTCCCCACCGACGTGCCTCTACCAGACTCGTGCCTGTCGTACGACGTATCCAAGTCCTTCACCTCCAACGAGCTTGCTCGCGTGTTCGGCTGGTCCGAGCTCACCGTCGCTGCGTGGCTCAAGAATCTCGTCCAGATCAGCGTCCAGGCACGCCGCTCCGGCTCTTCCGCCATCAGCGAGACGGACCTGCAAACGTCGCCCGCCTTTGCTGAAAAGGTCCTCCTGACCCTCTCGAGGGCGTGGTTTGCACTGCCTTCGGCGCAGCACGACGACATTCAGCAGATCCTGGCCGAAACCACATGCATCCCGACGCGTTCGCAGATGCAAAAGCCCGGCGACGCCTACTTCGCCAACGTGTCGCTCTTCTCGGACCTGCCCATCATCGAGCTCCCCAGCGGCGCACAGGTCAAGGGCAACCTCGAAAAGGTGCTGATCGCGCTGGGTGTGCGTCGACACGTCGAGTTGCAGATGATCTTCACCCGTCTCGTGGCGGATGGCGGCTGGTCGCACGTCGACCTGCTTGCCTATCTCGCCTCGATCAAGGACTCGCTGTCGGAGCTCGAGAAGGACAGGCTTAAGACGACCGCCATCTTTCCGAAGCACGGAGAGATCGGCCCACTCAAAGAGGACGGCACGCCAAGGATCATACGCCATCGCGCTCGCGACCTGTACGAACCCACCGAGGCGCTCAAGGCGCTGCAACTGCCCGTCCTCGACTGGACAAACAAGCCGTGGAGGCCGTTGTCGGACGAGGCGCGCTTCGTCTTCGACCTCGGTCTCCGTCGCTACCCGCCCATGGAGACGATTCTCGAAATCGCTGCAACGAATCAGGACGCGGCAGTGCGTTCCAAGGCTCTCGCCTTCTTCCTCGAAAAGTTCCATGCACACTACATCAACCAGTACACCATCTTCCGCGCCGAAAAGTACGCCTTTGTGCCGGCACGCCTTCCCAACGAGAACAAGCTGGTGCTTCGCAAACCCACCGAGGTGTTCACCAACGCCGAGGCCGCCGTCATGGGCTTCGCCGTTGCCGGGTCCGAGATCAATCTGGCCGACCTGCCCAAGCTCGGCCTGCGCTCGAATCCCACCGCGACGCAGCTCATTGCGAGACTCGTCAACTCGCCTACCCGAGGTGAGGCTCTGGCGCGCAAGATCTTCGAGTATCTCGCCACCGTCAACGAATTCAGTCTCAACGACTTCAACCAGCTGCGCGGGGCCGAGTTCATCCCTGTGCGCCGCACGAAGCGCGTCGAGGCGAGCTCTGACTCCGCGACCGGCGCTCCCCCCGCCGACATCATGCTGGTGGCGCCGATGAACTGCTACTTTGGCGGCTCCACGTCAGACCTTCAGTTCCGGGACGTCTTTTTTTACTGCGACTTTGGCTCGGTCGCAGGAGCGTTCCTCAAGAATTGCGGCGTGCGCAACGAGCCGAGCATTGAAGAGGTGACCGAGCGCTTGGTCAGCGAGCCTCAGCGGTTCTACCAGCTGGCAGGGAGTGCAGACGCCTACCTCGGCATCCTGCGTCAGATTGCTACCAACTGGGACCGGATCCGCAGCCCTTTGCGAAAGCAGATGGCGCGCTCGCCCTTTCTGCTCGGCTCGAAGCGCATTCAGGAGGGCAAAGCGGACAGCGGCGCGCAAAAGACGGTCAACTTGATGGATGCGGATGATGACGAACAGGACGAGGAGGCCGATGATGCGGGTACGCTCGTGTATGCGCTCAAGAAGCCGGCGGACGTGGTGATCGTCGACGACGCCAACTCGCACATGCTCTTCGCATCGTCGCTCTTCTACGCACCGCACGAAGATCTGCTGCAAGAGGGGCTGTACTCCAAGCTCGGCTCGCCACGACTGAGCTCGCTGGTGGAAGAAAGGTACTTGGTCGAGGGTCGCGTGGTGCGCGACACGCAGCGTGCGCGCGAGATCAAGGCGCTCGTCTTGGAGAGGACGCCGTTGTTCCTGTTCGAAAAGCGACAGACATCGCGATCCGAGATTCGCAAGGACGGCGAGTGGCTCAAGAGCGCACTCGAGGTGGAAGAGATCGACGGTGCCGGGCTGCGCCAGGTGCGCACGTTGCGCTACGACCGCGTGCACGAGCAGAACGTGCAGAAGTGCACCGCGACAGCGTCGATGCGCGGCTCGAAGCTCGTGTTGCACCTGTCGTCGTCGATGGAGGTCGACTTTTTCGAGGTGGCCAACTCGCTGAGCAAGTATCTGTTGACCAAGCAGCGGCTGCAGGAGGTGCTGCTGTACATGACGTTGCTGTCGACGTCGCTGCGCAATCTCAAACGGCGCGGCTTCCATGTGGACAAGATCCTGTCGCAGCGCAAGGCGGAGAGGGAAGCGGCGGAGGCGAGGATGCGCGAAGAGCGGCTCAAGGCGGAAGAGCGCGCGGCCGAGGACAAGGCGACAGAGGACAAGATGGCGGATTGGCGAAAGCAGGTGCTGAGCATCTTTCCGGACGCGGATCCGCGGTACGTGGACCAGGCACTGCGCAGCCACAGCGATGCACACGTCGAGAGGACGACGAACGACATGCTGAGCAGCAACTATCCACGCAGGAGCAAGGAGACCTCCTCGGTGGTCTCTCCCGCCGCGGCGACCGCCGACGACGAGTCGTATGGTGCGGGCGATGTGGCTGCGGGCGGAAAGGGTGGTGCTGGTGCTGGCGGCTTTTTGTCGGGCTTCCGCAACCGATTCATGCAGGCTGGAGGCAGGCAGCGCAGCTCGCTCGCCGAGGGCACGAGTTCAATCACACGACCGGGGCAAGGTGGGCCAGGGGCATTGTCTGGCGGCGGGCAATCGAGCGAGGACCGGGCGCTGGGTGGTCTCGCAGCTAGTGGGGGTGGAGGAGCGGCGACGGCGCCCACTCGGGATGTGACGCCTCTGTCGTCGATCAACAACAACGTGCTGCAGGCGATCCGAGCGTCGCGTCCGGACGCCTCGTCTTCGATCAAGAGCGAAGCTCGGCATGGACAGATCAAGGAGGCGGCTGACACGTACTGCGATGCGACGCCGGAGACGGATCTGAAGCTGGCGGGCGAGGTGGCGGGGATGAAAGTGTTCCTGCACCCGTCGCTGGACGCGGCCTCGATGCTGCAGGCCAACGCTTCGGCGCTGGAGCGGCTGATCAACCGCGTGTTTTCGCCGGTGGGAAGCATCTTTGGGCTGGATCCACGCAGCATGAACGTCTTTTGCGACACGGAGGGACCCGTGATCGCGTTCAATCGGGGCGGGGCGATCTATCTCAACTTCCGGTACTATCTGGCGTGGCACGACGAGCTGGTTCGGCAGGGCAAGATGGCGGATGCGCTCGTGTCGACGTACTTTAGCGTGGCGCACGAGATTGCGCACAACGTGGTGGCGGCGCACAATGCGGAGCACGAGTACTACTTTAGCGCGATCGCGGAAAAGTACGTCGTGTCGCTGGTCGAGTACATCGCCAAGGCAGAGGCGGATGCGAGGGTGTTGCAGCAGTAAAAGTGCTGGCTTTTCCGTTGGACCCATTGCAATAGATTGGTTCAATACGACGCAAAGAAAGAGGGCGTGCTTGCGGAGGTATGAGATCGACTTTGCGTGGTTGTGTTGGGCTGTGAGTGTTGGAAGAGATGTGGCGAAGGAGAAGGAGAGATGCAATCTGCGGTGGGGTTGGGATGCAATGGACGATTGCGAGCGAATAATGTACACAAGAGGGGCAAGGGCTTTGGGAGGTTTATGCCGAGGCGACCTGGGGGGATGGGAGGCTCTGGCGCTTTTCCTTACCGCCGAGATGGTGGTAGTTTGCGAATCTGAAGAGCTGGACAGCTTGTGCGGTCGCGTTTGTGGCGTGGCAAGCGAAGAGGAGGTAGTTTCGGGGCTGAACGCGCCATGCGAATCGCATAAAGACGGACGAGTAGGCGCAGAGAGCGCCGCTCATGGTTCCGGAGATCATCTCTTCATCCTTGGACAGATCGGCAATGGCTGCGAGAGGAAGACCCCAGTTGGCAACGGGACCCCAGAAGTGCGTCGACTATGTCCCAAAGAGCCCAAAATGCAATCGTCAGTACGCTTTACCCTCAACAGAGCATTGGGTGGGATTGGGATGACGTACGAAAAAGTATTGTCTGCCAGCGGGCGACTTGATCCAGTTGATGAATTGAGAAGCCATGATGTGTAGGTCTGCAGCGCGAGAGACACGGCGAGTTGGGATGGAGGTGAGCAGAAGGAGGAGGAGCTTCAAGGGTGCTCCATGCACCCAGATGGCGCGCAAAGAGTCACACCCGCCCACCCAAATCAATCCCCACTCAACCCACCTCCAACCCAACAAGTCTCTCACACACGGCTCCGCGCCAGTCCTTCTTCATCGATATCGGGCGAACATCCCACAACCTTAAACATCGGGTGATGGGATGGAGGGGCTCTGATTCGCGCGAGAAAATAGACTTCGAGTCAAAAAAATGAGGCTAGATCGCGTGGCTTTTTTTGAGCGATTGGAGCGAGTTTGGACACGCTGCGGGGAACGGAGGCTCCGGACCGCTGCTCCGCAGATGCGAGGGTCCAACTTCCCCACTCGCCTCTCTGCCTCTTTCAGAGTGTCTGGCGTGTGCAAGGCAGCAGCGGCCAACGTCTCTCCCTTGGCTTGCCTTGAACCTTTACGCATCGCACACAGCCGAGCTAAGCCGGGATCACGCTGCAATGCACCTGCTAGCTTGGTTGCCCAGTCGTATGCAAAGCATTGTTTGTGACACCGAGCCCGCCGCATGATGGCGGAGCAGGATCTTCCGGGCTGTCGTAGTGTCGTGTGCCTGAGTACCGCATGAGTACAGCATTGGCCGTTGATTCGGGGTGCGGCTGAATTTGTGACGGCGCGCTACCTGCTCGGCACCTGCCGAACTTGGCTTCCGACCAATCCGCTTCGGCCTTTCTCTCCACCTTCATCGAGCACTCCCATCCACCCTCCCGACCATTCGCCTCGACCCACCCAATTCACTTCATATCATCCTGCGCTCCCCGTCAGAGCGTAACGCGTCGACTCCGATCGGGCACCGGCACCTTCATCCATCCGCGCATCGCCTTCCGTGCTGTCCGACCGACCGATACCTCCCTCCTCTGCCACAGCATGTCCGCAGGCCGCATTCTCCTCGTCGGTCTCTAGCTAGTATTGCGCCATCCGTACTTCCTCCGCACCTACCAGCCAGCCGCAGCCCCCGACCCGGGACACCCCTGCAGCAACCACACAAGCAGGTCGACAATGAGCAACAACACCTCCGCTCGCAAAGAGTCCACCTCCGACTCGCTCTCCGAACACTCCGCCCATCCCGACTCCAGGTCCGACTTGGACGCCGACTCCAAGAACACCCCCGCCAAGGAAGAGCTCAAGATCTACAAGACCATCTCCAGAGTCCACCGCGCCTGCAACGCCTGCCGCAAGCAAAAGGCTCGCTGCGATGGCCCCGAGAACCCGCCGTGCCGAAGATGTCGCCAGGTCGGCATCGAGTGCATCTTTGAAAAGCCGCCCAAGGACCCCTCGTCGTCCACCACCAACACAGCCGACACCGGCGCCAGCTCCGATCGCATCCGCCTCCTCGAGGCCCAAATGTCTGGAATGCAGAGCATGATCTCCGAACTCGTCGCATCCATCAAGGCCAACACCAACGCCATCGCTGCCCCACCACAGCCCCCGCCGCCGCCGCAGCCGCAGCAGCAACCACCCCAACACTCTCCTCATGCTTCGTCCGTTTCCGCAGCCTCGCCACTCTCCTCCCGAGCTTCCAGGTCGGATCGCTACACTCGGCCGCGTCATCATAACGTGCCGCTTCAGCAGCAGCCATACGCCCAGCCGCCACACCATCGCAACTCACACCCCGCTGGCTCACCAGCAACCGAATTCCACCAACACTACACCCCGGACACCATGACCACCGATCAGCTGCAGCGCCCGCCTTACCCACCTTCTTCCGGCTCCTTAACAAGCACTTCGAGTCACGCCGGCACCGTGCCCATCCACGCCGCACCCGGATATCCACTGCAGCAACCCCCCAACTTTCAAACAGCCTACGGCCATCCGCCATCCAAGAACGACGACCATCTGCTGCAACACCACTCGGATCTCGACGCCTTTCAGCGCCGGAGCAGGTCACGACCCGGCCACGATACCGACATCCGCGATCAACCCTCCAATCCATGGCAACATCCTCATCTCGCCGCCTCCGCCCCAGTCTCGGCGCTTTCCCACGGCGTGAGATCCGACGTCGCTTCGTCCTCTCCCAGCGATCCCTCGGCTGCAGCAGCAGCCACCTCTTCGGGGTGGACACCCACTCCAGCAATGCCAGCGTATCAGCGCTCTCACTCGAGCCGGCGCCGCTGGACCTCTTCCGACCGCGCGGGCAGCCATAGCCTCTCCAACGATCAGAACTTGACACCCTCCGATGGGCCTGGCGCGGCCGACGATGGCGATCATCGCGAGACCGACATCAGCAACGACCAACTCAGCGCTCCCATCGAGGCGCTCCGAGGCTTGGCCGATGCCGCTGCCGCTGCCGCCGCAGAGGAGTCCGAGGGACACACCTCCAACGACTCGAGCGACGAAAAGAACCACGGCACTGACGACAACCCCTCGCGGTCGGGGCGTGGTGCCGGTGATGCGGACGCAGCGTCGGTACTCCAACAAGGCGACGAACCGACTGAACGCAACGCAGCGCGGCACGAAGACAAGTCGGGCGAAGGTGGCGGTCAGTCACCACGCAAGAAGCGCAGGCGCGACACCAATGGAGCCTCGCCCAATGCAGCAGGTGGCGCCAACGCCGCTTCCGATACGCAGGCGGGTGTTGGCGGCACAGGGACAACTCCGAAAGCGTCCGGCAGCATGGGCGTGGGTGCAGCAGCACCCTCACCCTCCAACGCTGCAGGCGGCGCCGGCCGCTCGGGCAAGATGGAAGCGCCCGGCCTCGTCACGAGCGCACCCGGCGACCTGGTCACCTTGGGCCTCGTCACCGAGAGCGACGCCATGCGCCTCTTCGAAACCTTCCAGAAGGGTGTGCCCAAGTTCATCTCCATCTTCCATCTCGAGGACGAGCCAATGACGACGGCCGAGGCGTACCACCATGTGCGCACCACCTCGTACTTTTTGTTCAACGTGATGCTCGCCATCGGCGCGAAAGTCGAGTGCGGCGGCAAGAGCCCCAGCCGCCTTTATCAGACGTGCATGGCGCAGGCGAAGCGCAATGCAAAGGACACGATGTTCAGCCCCGTCGCAGGCAAGTCCGCCGTGCAGGCCATGGTCCTCTTGGCCGCCTACAGCGAGAATGGATGGCTCCCGCTCGGCTTGTCCATCCGCATGGCGCAGGAGCTCGGGCTGGACCGCTCCTTCCAGAAACTCATGTCGGCGCTTCCCGCGTCGGGATACATCAAGCATCCGCAGCCGCCTCCGCCGCCCAAGCATCTCACCTTCTACCACAACTCGCCCCAGTCGTCGCACTACACCGGCTCGCCCACCGATGTCAATTCGGTCGGCGGCGAATTGATGGATGGCAAGACTGGTGCCAACGTTGCTGGCGCGAATGCGGTCGCGGCGGTGGCAGCCGCCAACGGCAACGCTGATGCGGCGGCCAAGCGCGAGCTCGACGAACTCAAGGATCTGGCGCGAGGCGCCAGGCTGTGGTTCTTCCTGTTCCTCTTCGACCATCAGGCGTCGTACGGTGCGGGCAGGCCAGCGATGCTGTCCAAGCACTACGTCCGCAACTGCCGCGCGTTCCTCAGCCTCGACTATCCGCTCACCGTCAAGACGGACGCGCGCTTCATCAGCACGCTCGAGCTGCTGATCATCCGCGAAACGCACTACGATGCCATGGCGCCGTACGACCAGCCGGTGGACGCGCGCATGCTCTCCAAGATGCGCAAGGTGACCGAGGAGCTCAACGAGTGGCACCAGTACTGGTCGACCGACTTTGAAAGCCGCGGATATGCGCACGACTCGTTCTTCCAGCAGTCGCTCATCCTTCAGTGCGCCAGTGCCGAGCTGTATCTCAGCTGCACCGCGCTGCGCGGCATCCGCAACGCCAACGATGCCGATCAGATGGGTCCCGAACAGAAGGAGCTCATCATCCAGGCGACCCGAGCCGCAGATACCTGCCTCAGCATCTCGGTCAATGCCAAGGAGTACAGAGAGATGCTCGGTTGGGCACCGCACTACACGCACGTCACCGCTGCCTTCGCCTGCGTGTTCCTGATCAAGATCGCACGCCTCTTCCCGAGGCAGGTGGACACGTACGGCATCTTTAGCAACGCAGAGAGGCTCGCGAGTCGGCTCGCCGAGGTGCCTGCCAGCAAGTACGCCAGGGTCATCAGGATCCTGCTCGCACAGGCGTGGAAGAAGATCGCCGACCTCAGTCCGGCGATCGGGTTGTACGCCGCGCTGGGTGCGGAAGCGACGAGGCCGGGCGCCATTACGCCCGCCGAGATCAAGACCGGTGGGCCGAGCGACTCGGGCATCAGCCTGCTCTACAAGCTGCTGCAGGAGTACCAGAATGGTCAGCTCGAGGGCGACGAGGATGCGGGCCGAGGCGAGGGCGGCGCGCAGTCGGTGCATGCCGATGGTGCAGGTGCGGGTGGTGAGGGTGCGTCGGGTGCTCGCACACCTGGATTCGGCGATCTGGCCAACAGCAGCAAGTGGTTGATGACGGGCATTTCGTCGCCTTCCGTCGGCGGTGCGGCGCTTGGGGCAGCGGGAAGCGGTGCCATGTCGCCGAACAAGGCGGCGACGGCAGGCCTGTTCTCGCACCGCGATAGCATCAGCGGGTTCGACCAGCATGTTGGTGGCAGCACGGGCAATGCAGGTAATGACGGTCTTGCATGGAGCTCGTTGATCGGCGCGGGCACGCCGTCTGCATCGCACGGTGGCGGAGCATTCATAAGCGATGGGTCGTTGATCAATGCTACCACGCACCAGCCGATCCAGCTGCCGCTGTGGATGCAGGAAAGTACCGGTGGTGCTGGTGACCTGGGTGCGTTCGACACGCCAGCCGGTGGCGCACCTGAGGCTTCGGAAGTCAAACCTGCCGCGGCGGCGAGGAGTTGGGGACACCAGGATCACTATCAGTCGCCAGTACCGCATGCGTCGCAGTACACCTCACCGGTCTATCAGACGCCCCAGACTGCTTTGCATCCGAATGCGAGGCAGGATGCCCAGCCAATGGGGATGCAGGCCCACCACCCGCGTCCTCATATGGTCCCCGCAAGCCCCGCACCCCAGCTCCAGCAGGGACTGCAGCCGTTCAACTCGACCAACTTCGATACGGTGCTCTCGGACCTCGGCCTGCCCCTCGACGGTCTGGACGGGCTGTTTGGCGATCTGCCCATCAATGCGCCCACCGCCCAGTCGAATTATTCGGTCTGATCAATCTAGCATTTGGAAGAACATGAGTGGGTTGTGTGTGTCCCTGTGTGGGGCGAATTTAGACGTGATCGGAGAGCGAAAGAAGCGCTGGCAATCTCAAGTGAGGGTGCCCCGGAGGATTGTGACGCCGTGTGCAGGACGGACTTCGCAGCGCGCCGTCCACCTCTTCTCAACCAGTGCTTCGAGCCCCGCTGCAGATGGTGATCAAGATCGCCCGTCGCGCAACACTCCCGATTCCGTGAACTTCGCCTTCCGTACCTTTGCACCGTTGAAAGCGGCTCTGACCACTCCGACTCGCTCGACCGCAACACAAGCACAAGCGCAGCAACGTTGGGGGAGGAATGATAGGATTGAAAAAATTCGCGGACTATTGGACTCTGGTGCATATCTTTTGGGGATATTCTCCGTGCGGGAGCCGACACATCAGAGGCAAGACAACGCTAGAAAGGTGCGGGGAGCGTGGCAGCTCTCCTCTTTCGAGGCTTTTTTTGGGTGTTCATCGCCCCTTCGCCCCACGAAAGGGTATCTGGGGCTGAGTCCTACTGTAGCGCGGGTGCGCACTTACTCCCAAGAGCTGGTGGGCTGCTCGGCAGCGCCGTCAGCGGCCCAGTCCTGGGCGCCCTCGGCGGACCAGTCGACGTTGCCGGTCTCGGTGGCGAGGTTAGCGGCAACGGCGAGGGGCACGTCGGCCTGGACCTCGGTGTTCTCGGCGGCGGGCTCGGCGGTCTCCTTGGCGGCCTGGGCGGCAGCGGCGGCCTCCTGCTGCTCGCGCTCGACCTCCTCGGGGTCGCGGTAGAAGAACATGTCGGGCATCACGCTGAGGTCACCACCCTTGAGGCGCAGGACGGTGCGGCAGAGGAGCCACCAGAGCAGACCGACCGAGTGGCGGCCGCGGACGTTACCGGGGATGGCAACGTCGACGAACTTGAGCGGCGAGTCCGAGTCGACGAACGAGATGCAGGGGATGTTGACGTACGAAGCCTCGCGGATGGCCTGGTGGTCGACGCGGGGGTCGGTGACGACGATCACACGGGGCTCCTTGAACGAGCGGGTGATGTAGTTGGTGAACGAACCGGGCGTGAAGCGGCCAGCGATGGCAGTGGCGCCAGTCTGGGCGGCGAACTTGAGCACGGCACGGTGACCGTACTGGCGGCCCGAGATGACGCAGATGTCGGCGGGGTTCTCGATGGCGGCGAGAACACGGGCGGCGAGAACGATCTTCTCCCAGGTCTTGCCGATGTTGAGCAGGTGAATACCGTCGGCACGACGCTTGTAGATGTAGGGGGCCATCTGCTTGTCGGCGTTCTTGGTGCCGATGTGCGTCTGGGCGGCGAGGAGGAGCGAGATGTCCTCCTCGGTGGGGTTGAGAGCAGCAGGGACCTTGGACATTTTGAAAAACGAAACGGGAAAGGTAGAGAAACGGAACCTCGAAACTTTTGCGTGTAAGGAAGAAGGGAAGGAAGGGATGAAGGTTTAGCGCTCGTGGATAGCGACCGGCGCACTCTCGCTGCCTCTTCCAGCTTCCGTGCCGTCCACCGAGCGTTTGACTGGTGAGCAGTTGCAAAATTCGTCGCTCGCTGCTCGTCTGGCTGGAATTTCGCTGCTCCCAGAGGCGCGCGGTCGAGCTTGGACGAACTTGCCGCAGTCGATCGGGATCAGATGCCGATCTTGTATATTATGCATATCGATCGGGAGATTGGCAGTTTTCGACGCGAAGCCTCCACTCTGACGCGTGACAGCCGTGAGTGTGTGTGTGTGTTGGTCTGCGGATGCGGAGCTGCATGGACCCGTTCCGCATGCATGGATGCTGTGCGCAGTCCCAGACGGCACCGCCTTTCTGCCGCTACAACCATCAAGTCTACTCTGACATGGAGCTTCCGACATATGGAAGGATTGGCTTCCTAGTTCATTGTTGCGAGTTCAGCTCGAGGTCGCGGAGACCATGACGTCGTCGCGCCCGTCGTCCGAAGACTCGAGGGGCTTCAGCCTCAAGGACGCCTTCAAGCGACTCAGCATCCGTGCTCGCTCCTCGTCGCCAGCATGCGACGCTCAACACAAGCCGGCATCAACAGCGCTGCCGAGACCAGCATCGTATCACAAAGCTGCAACGTCCGCATCCACTGCAGTGTCGCTGCCGCCTTACCTTGCGCATCTTGCTGCCTCCACTTCGACCGCACCTCGGCCAAGGCCTTTCCCGGAGCCACGAGTCAGCATCACAGCCCCAGCACCTCCTCCATATGACCATGACATCGAACCACACCGTATGCCGCCACGACCTCCGGCTTTCACGTCTGCGGCGCCGGAGCAGCAGCCCGCCGCGCACAAATCGGCACCAAGCCGACACCCGACAAGCCTCACTCCAGCCAACATCCGCGTGGATGTACATAGCAAGCAACCGTATCCGTGGGAGCTGGTTCCGCAGCTCAAAGCACGTCCCGGCACCAGCAGTGCGGGCAGGGAAAGCAGCGCACCATCGGATGAAGTCGAGAAGGAGAATCGCATCCCACAGAGCAACAGCGCGCAGCAAACACACGCCAAGACCACCCAGGAGCCCATTAACCTCGTGACACCGCCAAGGGCACCTGGAAAGCTCAGGCAGAAGAGTCCGTCCCCATCAACCCCACTCGGAGCACGAACGCCCAACGGCTCGCAGAGGGATCCCAGCTGTCCTCCTGTCCGAGGACAGTGCTGGGGCATCAAGCAAGACGGCACCCGCTGCACCCGCAAGGTCCGCACACCCTCACACACCAACAAGCTCGCACCGGCCGGCACTCCGAACGAACGAAGTCGATACGAGCGAGGCGCGTCCGCACCGCCCATGCTTCACCAAGGTGCCTCTGCTGGCCAGCCTCTCGTCATCGGAGACAGCGGCAGTGAGGATGAGCTCGGTACAGCGGTGGCGCGGAGACAGCGGCTGGCATCGCCCGCGTCCAAGGACGCTGCAGACGACATAGACGAGGTGTATTGCTTTCAGCACGTGGCCGAGGTGAACAAGACCACTGGCTTTTACCCTGGCACAAGGTCCTCCGCGAATGACTTTGTCCAGTTCAGCGACTGGTTCGGCACCGTCGAGCTAAGCGAGCATGCTCAGGCGCTGTTGCGAAGAGCGATGAGCCGACCGCCCACCGACTTTGACCGCGCCGAGCAGGGGTACATCTATATCTACGAGCTGCGCGACCGTTCGAGCGCCACGCATCTGTGCCTCAAGGTCGGACGTACCGTCAATGTGTTCCGCCGTCTGGGCCAGTGGCGCACACGATGCTACTCCAAGGGTCCGCTTCTGCGCGCTTTTCATCCGTCTGCTCACGACCAGGGGATGCTGTCGGGCGCAGACGCCGTCGAGGCCCCCGGCGTCGTACTCAGCCATCGGTGGGAAACGCTCGTACACCTCGAACTCGATGCTGTAGGACAGAGGGTACTCGAGGTGTGTCACGATTGCGGCACCCGCCACAGAGAGATCTTCATGATCCCCCGCTCGCCCCGCTTGCAGCACGGCCAAGAGCAGGCCGACGGCTTTGAGGTGGTTCAGCGCGTCGTGCACAAGTGGATGCGCTTCGTCCAGGCCATCACATGACGAGCATTCGCCCACGCATTCTGATGACACCATGTACTTGTAGGTACGCACCCAGCCTTGGGCTATCTCAAGCCTCGTTCTGCATGGCGCGCAGCTTCTGAAGCTACGAGGGTCCGCCCGGCACAAGTGCAAGCCAGTGCGTGCATCGCTACGGGTGGCCCCTCAGCTGTCACGGACACGGGAGCATTTCTCGCGCAAAATTGTTAGGGCATCGCGATCCACAACTGCAATTTTTGCTGGCGCGATCTGCGCCGCGCACAGGGGCAATAACAATTTTTACAGTTTTGATACAGACGCACGTGACTCAATCCGACCAGTCAGCCCATGAGGAGGTGTAGCAGGGCTGGAGCCAGTCGAGAAGATTGCAGCTGGTGGTCGCCAGTTCCAGGACAGGCAGGCAGCAGGGCACCACACGGACAGCAGCAGCGCAGAAGGTCTCCATGGGTGCGCAAAGCAAGGCTGGCATTGCGCAGCCTGAGCGAGCAAGACGGGCGCTGCAGCCTCAGAGTGCCGTTGCGAAGCGTGCAAGGTCAGGCTGGCGTAGACCCGACTCTGTCTTTGCTGGATCGTCGTCAAGAACCTCCATCAACCACCATCCCCCTTTCATCAACCTTTACAACTCAAGGTTAGTAACGAGCACGACACGCATGCGCCAGCAGCGAATATACAGCTGTCGTGGAGATCAGCACAGGAGGCCAGCACGAGCAGCACCGACAGCCGGCATCGGAAGTTGCAGACATTCACAACACCATAGAGACCGGCAGACAGCCCTAGGGATGGAGTATCAACAGCGCTGAGGACAACTTCGTATCAAGGGCCGGCGCTACTCCGGTGTTAGTCTAGCAGCAACAGCAGGATCAGCATGGTCACAGCATTCGGAGGCCAAGTGGCATCCGACATGGCACATCACAAACGACCAGGTCTCGCAGCGACCTCGACGTCCCCAGATAGCAGCAGCGTCTCGACCAACGCCAAAGGCAGTTCGACACAGCTCCATCAGTCGCAGTGTCACGGTTCGCCCGCCAGGCTTTACGAACCAATCACGAGCAATCGCAAAGCCAGCGAGCATGACCCAACAACACGAGGATGGCGACGAGCCCTATACGCAACTTGCCCAGGCATTTCAATTCGCCCGTCTCGATCAGATCGACCAGCATACCTTGGCACGCGAGCAGGCATCGACGGCACCATCTGCGTTTGCAGTGATTCGGCTCTTCTCGACCACGATCGCCCATGCAGAGTCGAAACGAGGTTCTCAACAACACTGTCATGTCACCGCCGTCCGCTTGTTGCTGCCATTTCACTCGCCACTTGCCAGCCTCGCTCGACTCGTCTCTGCCGACGCACGACTTGTGTCTCAACCGGCCGCGTCTCTCCTGCTGCATCTCCACGATTGGCGTGTTTCTGGTCCGAATTGAACACCTGACTGACCTCCTTGCACTCTTTCATGCACTGCCATTTCGCAGAACACAATGGCTGACGCTGCTCCCCGTGGACGTGGCGGTTTCGGACGAGACCGCGGTGGACGAGGCCGCCGTGGCCCCCGTCGTGGCGGTCGCCGCGACGGCGAGAAGGAGGAGTGGGTCCCCGTCACCTCGGTGGGCCGACTCGTCAAGGACGGCAAGATCAAGTCGATCGAGGAGATCTACCTGTTCTCGCTGCCCATCAAGGAGTTCCAGATCATCGACCTGCTGCTGCCCAAGCTCAAGGACGAGGTGATGAAGATCATGCCCGTCCAGAAGCAGACCCGCGCCGGTCAGCGCACCCGCTTCAAGGCCTTCGTTGCCGTCGGTGACTCGGACGGCCACCTTGGTCTTGGTGTCAAGTGCGCCAAGGAGGTCGCCACCGCCATCCGCGGCGCCATCGTTGTTGCCAAGCTCTCCACCATCCCCGTTCGCCGTGGCTACTGGGGTAACGCTCTTGGTGAGCCCCACACTGTGCCCATGAAGGTTTCGGGCAAGACCGCCTCGGTCATGTGCCGTCTCGTGCCCGCTCCCCGCGGTACCGGTATCGTTGCCGCCCCCGCTTCCAAGCGCATGCTCGAGCTCGCCGGTATCGAGGACTGCTACACCCAGTCGGCCGGTCAGACCGCCACCATGGGCAACTTCCTCAAGGCTACCTTCGAGGCCGTCTCCAAGACCTACGCTTTCCTCACCCCCAACCTGTGGCGCGACATTGCTCCCCCCGCCACCCCCTACGTCGAGTTCGCCTCGCACCTCGCCCGCACCCAGAAGAAGTCGCTCTACTAAATGTAGCGGCCCGGCCTTTTCGGTGTACGGTCTGGTGGAGGTGCTAGCGATGTCCTAGCGGGCACCGTTAGCTGTCTCGACTTTGGCACAGGGTCGTCAGTCTCTTCCTTAAAGGACTGCGACCTGATCTTTCCCCTCTCTCGCCCTCTCTAATCCCAGCTTCCCCATTCCCCCCCACCTTTTTTCTCTTCTGCCCATTCTTCGCTCTCTCGCAGCGACTTGTATTTTGCATACAGCCAACCCCCCAAAAATCTGAAGCATGCTCCTATGCGTCTTGACCATCCATCTTTGTAGTGTGTGTGTGCCCAAAGGCTGGCGACGCTCGGGCTGTGAGCAGCGGGCGAACGAGCAAACGATAGAAAAGAGAGAAATTTGTTAGGGTGATGTACAGTGCACAGTGTCCGGCTGAAAAAAGGTAGGGTCGTGCGCGCACTTTGAGATTGCAAGTGTGGGCGCTGATCGAGGATGAGAAATTCGGGCTGGTGCGGGCGGAAGAGAGGGGGCAGAAGGATTCTTGGATCGGACGGTGAGATCGGGAAGTGGGAAAAGGCGAGACTCGGAACCGTTGATGGAATCGCGCGGGCGACGTCGCAGGACGGCACCTCCAAAGCAGCACATTCTTGCTTCCACCCGCTCGTCACCACCTACCCATCACCACCTTGACCTTTGCGTTTTATTATTCGACATGTTTGCTCGTGTTGCTCGACAGGCCGCACCTTCGGCTCGCACCATGCGTCTCGGAGGTGTTCGCAACAACTCGTCGCTCCCCATTCCGCCCAAGATCGCCACGCCCAAGTCGGCGCAGGGTCCCGGAGGCTCCTCCGAGCGCATGGAGAGCGTCGTCGGCTTCTACAAGGCCCTCCCCAAGGGCGAGGCTCCCCAGAAGCGTGGCGGTGGAATCAAGGCTCGCTACTTTGACGGCAACAACGCCTCGGGAAAGCCCATCGTGGCTACCCTCTTCACCCTCTTCCTCATCGGTTACTCGATCGACTACGCCACCCACCTCCGTAAGTTGCGCCAAACACCAACAGACGACTCGCTTCGGCTGCTGACTTTGCTTCCCTCCGTCTTTGTTGCATCACAGGTCACCACAAGAACAACCACCACTAAAGCGGATACTGCTTGACAGCACGTCCTAGCGTCAAGCCCGACGTCGAAATCACAACCATCGTTCCCGAGTGACGCAATAGAACACAGTTGCTCTCGCACCGTCTCTTTCTGCTCTCGCTTTTGGTGAGCCGCCATTGCCGACACAGACACAGTCCGAATCCCGCCCGGACAAACAGGAAAGCACAACGATGGATGAGAGACTCGGCAATTCTAGCGTCAGCGTCGAAGGACTAGTTGGAGCGACGAACAAACGAGTCTAATGGACCTTTCCTGCGTCTATCCACAGGTCGGGGCGTGGCGGCACGGGGAGGATTGAGACACTCGTCAATGTGCGCGTTGAGCTGGTCGTTTGTGCCGCTGATCCGAGCGCCGCACACAGGACAATCGACACCTACCTCGGCCTCGGCGCGAGTGGTTGATGCGGCCGAAGGATCCTCGACACTGGTCGACGGTGATTCGCGCGACATTTCCTCAGTGCGAGTTGGGGCCGGTTCGTCCTGGCTGAGATCCCGCACATCGCTGAACGGATCCGCCTGACCTTCAAGTGAGCGCTTGATAGCCAGTGCGAGTTGGCGCTCCTCTTCGTCGTGCCACTCTTGAGCTGTCTTTGGCGCGTCCGTTCCTGAGCCTTCAGGCGCAGTATCGGATTGAGCAGTGTCGGAGGCACGCGCTTGGAAGAGCTTCCTGAGTCTTTGTTCTCCCGCAGCTGCCGAACGCAGATCCACGAGATGCGTCACCCTCACACCAATGAGGCGCAGCGAGAGCGGACCTTGGCGCTCGATCTCTTGCAGCAGCAGGCTGCTCGTGATCTCGTACAGCTCCTCGGCAGTATGCACGAGCCGGGTCGAGGTGCGCGCGCGCGAGAAGCGCTGATAGTTGTCGCGCTTGGCTACGAGCGTGACGGTCTTACCCTTGAAATCGAGCCGCTCGAGATCGTTCTGCACGCGCTGCGCCGACTCCTTGAGCAGATCCAACAGCGACTGTGTATCCGACGTCGGGCTGAATGTATGTTCGCGCCCGACGCTCTTGCGTTGCTCGCGCTTGCTCGGCTCGACGACGGTATTGCCGATGCCGAGATGCGCCTTGATGAGCCAGTCGATCTTGCCGTCGAGGGCGAGCCAGAGCTGGACGCGGTTGTGCCAGATGTCGCCGCACGTGTTGACTCCGAGGCTCTCGAGGATGCGCTCGTTGACGCGTCCGATGCCTGGTATCTTGCGACACGGCAGATCGCGCATAAAGTCGACGATGGTCTTGCGGTCCGGATGCACGCGGAACTGGCCGTCGGGCTTGTTGCGGTCGCTCGAGATCTTGGCGAGCATGGTGTTGGGCGCGATGCCCACGCTGACGGTGAGCTGCGTCTCGTTTCGGACCTCATCGCGAAGCTGCTGCACCACCTCGTCGATCGATCCGCCGTGCTGTTCGAGGTAGTCGGTGATGTCGAGGTAGGCCTCGTCGAGAGAGGCTTGGGCGAGGTTTTCGTCGTAGCGTTCGAATACGGCCATGACCTTGTGGCTTGCAGCGACGTAGCTCTGCATGTCGTTCTTGACCACGATGAGGTGCGGGCAGAGCGCCTTTGCGACAAAGACGGCCATGCCGCTGCGCACGCCGTAGCCGCGGCGCGCTTCGTAGGAGGCGGTGACGAGCACGCCGGAGCCTACGCCAAAGCATTTGCCCTTGAGCGAAGGATCTCTGGCGAGCTCGACGGCGGCGTAGAACATGTCGATGTCGGTGTGGAGGATGGTGCGCGAGAGGTCGCGTGTGTCTTCGAGGCGCATGGCCATGTCGTTGATCTTGCGCTCTATCGAGAGCCACTCGGGACTGCCGGGCGGTACTTGGAGGAGCTTCTGGTCGCGGCGCGCGAGGAGCGCGTTGATGCGCTCGGTGGTCTGGGCATCCTTCTTGCGTTCGTTGTCGAAAAACTTGCTGCCCTTGGAGACTTGGTAGATGATTTTGTTGATCTCGTCCTGATCCTTTGCGAGACCTGCTTTTGCGGAAGATGGGCCCGCCATGCGTTTGCGCAGGCTTGCAAGTGCATCATCGTTGTCTGCAGTATCTCGGGTGTGAGAGGAAGTCGATGCCGAGGCAGAGGCGGGTGGCGAGGTCCTCTGTCTCTTGCGTGGGGAGGTGGAGGGCGAAGGGGCGGTTGGATCGTTGCTGGGATCGTCAAAGACGTCGGAGTTGGCGTCCCTGTCGCGGAAGAAGTTCATGGCTCGTCGCGAGGCGTGACTGGCGTCATGTGTGCAAGGTTTGTTGGTGGTGGGCGCAGTGTGTCTCCTGCATCGTTGTGTTGGTTGCTCGAGAGGGAGTAAGTGGATCAGCTCGGGTCTGCAAGAGGGCATTGGACCCTGAACTGCCATCAACGAATGATCAAAATGTGAGATTAGCATTTTCTCGACAACTGCATCCGCTGCTAAAAAGTGGAGCTGCGCAGCCGGAGCAGCGCAACGCAATCTATTCAATCACGCGCTGCAGCGGCAGCATCGAAAAGCGGCACAAAGCCAGAGACCGACACGAACACGTCGGAGGCAGACAGGCGAGGCGCACAGCTCCCCGAAAAGGGTCCAACGCATGCCTACGCCTCTCTCCGGTCTGTGCAGCAGCATTCATACCATCTCTCTCGCTCTCCCATCACTCTCGCTTCATCTCGTCCGCCACCACACACGCTTTGGCGCGCGCCATCTCATCTCATTCTGCCTTCGCCCACTCCGCATCCATCGCGCCGATCTCAAACGCTTCAACCCGCGCCGTCATCGCCCTCACCTGCATCCCACATCCTGTTCAATGTTGCATCGCGCCCTCTGATCTGGGCTGCCATCGGCTTTCATTCCTCACAAACCCCCCCCC